GATGTACACGGTGTTATCGCGCTGACCCCAACAAAATGGTGCGGTTTTGCGTCCATGCATTCCAGGTACTAAAAGGACTTGGAGTCTTTCACCTCGTTAAACAACACCTAGGCTATTAGAAGCATGGGATCGGTACGATTACGAGGTGCAAATCTGAAGAAGTGATAGTAGAATGATATCCTTACCGGAGGTATCGACGATAGTAGTTTGCTAGTAAGCCCATAATACCAGGAATAATTTTTATTGCACTTTTTTATTCAATGATTTCAGACTCACGGCGGTAGCCGATCGTAAAATTATTCTTTAAATATTGGCATTGTTTCAGCCCAAATACAACGACTTCCTGTGTACAACCTCTGGCAACTGCTTGAGAATGTCAGTGAGTAGTATTAATTAGTATTAATAGTATTATTATCATTATTTGCTGAGATTGGCATTAATTTATTGATCACAAATTTATTCTGTTTCTATCGCGACGGCCACTTACGCACTATTTTCATGAGTTTATTCCCAGGTTCTGTAGTACGCGTAGAGAATCCAGAATATACTAAACTGTTGTATATATGTATTTTTTTATTTCATGAATGTGTCAGACAAAAGTATATATCTCAACATTAAAATTACAATACATAAATGAATTCTAATCAGCTCTCAGGTAAGCAGCGGCTTGTACCGGCTATGAGCAAACGATGATCATCCTATGATTATGTAATCGAGGGTAGAGGTGACTGAGTTTTGCCCCACCGCCGTTCAGCGGTCTATGATAACTAATGTTGAACCTGTACCGCGATGTAGGGGTATAAAACGAGACAGGATTGGGTGAAGTGGATGGTTGCTATTAGAGACAAAAGCGGAGGACAAGCTTTGACGATATCTCATACGAATTCTTTGACCAGTACTTCAAAATTAAAACAGATACTACGTACTCTCTATTTAAGAAACCGGCGTAACATAGAGGGTTGGTTTTGCGAAGTACAGAAAAATTGAGGTAACTGGTAAACAAGGAAGCATGCAGGCTTCACAAAATGCTACAGGCTGAAATTTTGTACCCTCACTTGCCTCAGGCGAATAAAATAGTACGCACCGTTCCGCATTTTATTGAAGTAACTTTTCAGTGTGTTATGACCAAGGTAGTCTTCGAATAGACGATATAAATATATTTTTTATAGTTTAGTGTAGACAACCGATAGATAGAAATTACCGGTTAAACGTAATCCGATATTGCTGGAGATTCTCAATATGTTCTAAGGAACTGATTCAAATCTTTTCCGGACACAGGCGACCTCAGCAGACGTGGAGACTAAGAAAAGGAGGTTTGCCCCCTGTTAGACACATTGGTTGAGCACACACCATTTACTTCAGCCTCTGAGCTTCTAGTTTGGTAGCCGGTCTGATTCTTTATCGGCTTTCAGGTGGGTCAGGGCAAACTGCAGCAGGAAAGCGCAAGCATCGAACAGCGTGGCCCCGTCTCACACGGCTCTGGTTTTATCCGGCACCCGAAGAGTGTAAAGCCAACTACTAACTGATTTCTCCTCCCCACTCAATTACAAACAAATTTTAAACATCAGTCTTTTAGGTAAATACATAAAGACACAAGGTAAGTTTAAAGACTATCACAGAGCTAGCATTTTCGATAGAAACAACGTCATCAAAGCAAACCTGAAGCGAAAGTAAGAAAACTGCTTTTAGGAATGACACCCAATCAGTTTAAAGTGGCTGTTTTTGTGCGTACATGCACTGAGTTACGCAGCGAATTAGTCGTTTGCTTTCCACGTTTGAGGTGCCGGTTAAAGTCTGCCGGGGAATAAATTTCCTCTTATTAACTGTTAATTCTCTTGAGCAAAAAATTCACCCTACCGTGCTTCATTGCAACCAGCTGAAAAACGGGTAGCACGTCGTTGAGCTGCGAATATCAGGACAACATAATATTCTGGTGTGGTCATTCCAGAGCGTGCAAGACAGAGCATATGGCCATCCTGTCTGATTCATGCGCTTTCCATATGTAGTTTGCCTTGATCTACGTAATAGCGCTAAGGATCAGCACAGGGTTAACATAAATTTGAATAAAAATTTTACGACTTCTTTCAATCCACTGCCACTGAATAACAGTTACCTCTGACTACATATGCTAGGTAATTATTCTCATGCATTTTAGGAACGTAGAGTGTGATTATGTTTCAAGTAATCGTACTGGTATCAACGACGGAAGAACTTAGACGATTCAGCGTAAGAAAATGTGATTGAGCGGGCTCTTTCTTG